TCCTAAAGATATTATATTCTGACATTGTAAACATTATGGAATATGGTTGTATTTGACATATCACCGTAAGATTTTCATTAATATTTAACTATGTTGATATTGTGACAAAAAAAAAACTACATTGATATTGTATTGTACTAAACTATTTTGTATAAGAAATTTTAAGCTTTCATAATAAAATGAATCTAAAATAGTTTATACAATTTCGTGTATGAAAATCTTATTTAAAATAAAATAGTTTATCATGACTACTGTTGGAAGAAAATATGGTCAAAACAAAAATTTGTAAAGATTTTGTATTTGTTAGACCATGGTAGATTGGCTTGATGATTTGTAGAGTTTACATGGGCCAAAATGTTAGGCTTTGAATTTACAGTTAATCGTACAAGTCTTATAATGAGCCGAATATTAGGCCCAAACTAACACACGAACGAAGAAACTGAGCCCAACAAAAAAAAACTAAATTGATGATATCAGAACAAGTTCGTCACTACCTGAACTGCTTTTCGCCGGCGACGAACTTAACGGAGATGGCATTGTCTCAGTCGACCTTACTGCTCCCATCTCTACTTATCCCGTCCCTGAAACGTAATCTCGTCGGAGAATCTCAAAATCCGATAACAGCTATTCTGCCGACGACGGAAACCCCAAAATATCGTTTGATATCGTCAGGTCTTACGTCGAGAAACAAACCCTGTTCTCATCTCCGAACCATTAACTGCGTTTCCTCCGCCGGAGATGGAAGCAGAGAATCGTCTTCGATCTCGTCGCTTTTCGTGAAGGGTATTTCTGATTTTAGTTCCCTCTAATTTTTGTTCATGAATCTAGGGTTTATACGAAAAAATTGAATCCGTGTTCATAATTTAACAGGGCTTCCAGATTCAGTGAGTGAAGGGCGTTTAAGAAAAGTCTTCTCGGAGTTTGGACAAGTTAGCAGTGGTGAGCCTCTCTGTTTCTTTTCTGGAATTACATTTTCAGCTTCCAGTGATTGAGTTAATAGGATTGGATATAGTCAATAGTTTAGGCTCTAAACCGGTTTGTAGAATTGAGTTAAGGAGTAGTGTTTTGCTTGAACTTGAACCTCATTATGAAATGAAAACGAAGCAGAGGAGGGAAGACCAAATATAAGATACTTGATCAAGTCAATAAATTTGTTTTGTAAGTTAACCATAGGAGAAATTGGTCTCTGTAATTAGTCCTTGTCTGGATCAAAACCAAGATAGATGGTTTGATATCACAAAGTGGTGTGAAAAAATGGGAGCTCTAGGTCTAAGATCATGAGCTTAAGGGAAACCATTGATTTGCAGGAAATTACTTCTTACTCTTATGTAGCTCTTTAGATGAATAAAACAAACAAATGAGGGAACCGTTGAATCCTTCAACTAAGTAAAATATGTGGAAGACACTTCTTACAAGAAAGAGACCAATTCCTACATCTTGTAAAATGACTTAGGAAACAAAAGCAAGTAACAAAATTTATTGACTTAACCAAGTTTCTTGGATTTGGTCCTTTCTCCCTCATGGACCTCCACTGCCTGCCACGTTTTTTTTCTCACATGCTCCATGTCACCACTTTTGTCTTCACCGATTCCTGTCATCTTGTGGTAAGCAAAGAAATTCTATTTTTTGTTTTTTGTTTTTTGTTATGGGTTTGAAATGCAGAAGCTGATCCCAAGACATTTCCAGGTTTTGGCCTTCATTTTTGCCCCATTGTACCTCTCTTGTTTAATACTAGTGTTTATTGTGGAATCAGTGACTTACATGAGCATTTACTTCCGCCAATTTTAAACAATACTTTGTCATCATTTTCCGGTCTTTTCGATTAATTTGTGTTCCGTAATTCTTATTACACGTTCTCGTTGGTACTTTTGTGGTTTCTTGGTGTTTTTCCTTTCCGTCAGTGGAAACATATAACTGTAAAACATACACGAGGTTGGTTATAGTAAGCAAAGCTTCTGGATTGTGGTTTGCAAGTCTGTTGATTGACATTGAAACCTAACTGCAGATATAGAGCATAGTATCATTAAGTTTGCTTAGTGAAGGAATTTGCAATGTAGCATCAGTCAGAAACCAGCAAAATTTTATTTACTTATTCTGCAACACTATTTTGTTTGTAGTAAAAATCATCATAAACGAAAGGACTCGGCAGTCTCTAGGATATGGATATGTCTGGTTCAACAGCAAAGAGGATGCAGAGTTGGCTGTGGAAGCCATGAACGGAAAGGTATTAAAGCTTCTTTGAAATTGAATAAACATGTCTATTCTCGGTGGTTGGGTTTCAAGCTTTGGTCGGTCTTCAGGATCCTTTTGACAAAAGCTTGTAGCTTGATCCCGGGTCTCAGGAACCCGGGAAGAATCCGAAGCTCTCGGAGGAAACCCATCCGAGAGTAGCCATGTGTTGTTGATTCTGGATTGCTTTTGATTATTGAACTAATAACATGAAATCTGTTGTTGATACCGGTCTTGGTTTAGTTCTTTGATGGCAGGTTTATTCTTGTTAAATTTGGTCAGCCTGGATTGTCCGGTCGCCGGAGATCACATTCTGATTTTCTCTTTGTAAATAAATGATCGTACATTTATCGTTTATGAGGGAATGTAATACAACTCGGATTCTACAAGGAGTGGATTTTAAATATCCCATGGAGTTCAAAATTTTCCCATGCAAATCGATTGATCTAGTGAAAAAATATAGTTGATTAAATTATTCATTCCTATGTCTTTTTTTATCCGTCCATGTATCAAGTCCACTAGTATTTGTGAATCTTCTTTGAAACCCACAAGACCATGTCACTTGCAAAGCATGTAGAAAACTTAAAACGTTCGATCGTGTTCGCTTATGGTAAAAAGGATGAAGCCGCTATAACGAAATCTCCAATAAAATTACGTATGGTCCAGTCTGCACCAATTTAAATGCTTCCCACGTGGAAGCATGCATGTTGTTATATTTTAACCATCCATACGGAGGAGTAGTAGCTCAGGTCATGAACATGGCGTGGTTGTAGCATTGTCCAATTCAATGACTTTCGTTTGTGCTCTTTGGTATATATCTTGTGGTGGACTCCATTTTCGTCCATTAGAGATCATATAGTAAAGTTTTTTAAAAAAAAGAAGATCATTTTTTTTTTTTTTT